GTAGGCTGTAGTGGGGTAGCCCATAAGGGGTACAACCCAATTAGGGTTAGTACTTGTATCCAACTCTTTGCTAGTTCATTCATTCTCGTTCGTTACTTTGACATGGTTTCAGAGCAGGTCCCTTCTAGGACCGTTTTTTTTGGGCCCACCACCTGCTGCCCTACTAGCCACCCTCGCGACCCGTAGGCCCCCTAGGCCCCGACTCGTCGCCTCTAGCCCGGCCCCTTGGCCCCGTCGCCCCTATCCGCGGCCCCTTGGCCCCGTCGTCCCTAGCCGCGGCCCCTTGGCCCAGTCGCCCTAGCCACGGCCCCTAGCGACCCGTCACTCTGTCGCCCCGTCGCCCCTAGCCGCGACTCCTAGCCACGGCCCCTTGGCCCCGTCGCCCCTAGCCGCGGCCCCTTGGCCCCGTCGCCCCGTCGCCCTAGCCGCGGCCTCTAGTGACCCGTCGCCCCGTCGCCCCTAGCCGCGGCCCCTTGGCCCGTCGCCCCTAGCCGTGGCCCCCTCGCGACCCGTTGCCCCGTCGCCCCTAGCCGCGGGCTCGTCGCCCCGTCGCCCCTAGCCGCGGCCCCGTCGCCCCGTCACCCCGTCGCCTCGTCGCCCCGTCGCCCTAGCCTCGGCCCCTAGCGACCCGCGACCCGTCGCCCCTAGCCGCGGCCCCGTCATCCCGTCGCCCTAGCCTCGGCCCCTAGCGACCCGCGACCCGTCGCCCCGTCCCCCCCCCCCCCCCCCCCCCCCCCCCCCCCCCCCCCCCTTCGCCTCGGCCCATCGCGACCCGCCACCCCTAGCCGCGGCCCCAGCGACCCGTCGCCCTAGCCTTAGCCCCCCCTTGACCTCGGCCCCTCGGCCCCTAGGCCCCACGCCGCTCGGCCCCTTGGCCCCTCGGCCCCCTGGCCCCTAGACCGGTTCAGTTTGACACGTGGCTCGACGACCTGCAGCTGTACCTACTGAGCGATTCTAAGGATAGTGTCTCGCTGTTTGACCTTGCGTCAGGCGCCGCTCCTGCCCCTCCCGCCACAGCTAACAGTGCGACTCGCTCACAGTGGCTTACTCGCGACGCTGCTGCCCGCTTAGCCATTCGCAACCACCTGCCGTTAGCTAAATACGCTCACTTCGGACAGCACAGGACAGCACAAGCACTGTACCCCGCAGTCGTAGCTCGCTACTCCTCGCCTGCCACTACTGCTCTAGGCCGACTGCTACTGCCCTACCTGTTCCCCGTGCTGTCAGCTTTTGCCACAGTAGAGGACCTGGTTTCCCACCTGCGCACTAGCGACGCTCGCTACCGCGCTACCGTCCCTGCTGAGTTTCTTGACAGGAACCAGCCCCCGATCTTCATCACCCTCTACTTCATAGTCACTTGCCTCCCTGACTCTCTTCGCTCTGTCAGGGACCACTTTCTCTCCCTTGACCCCACCTCCCTCACTGTTGACCTCCTTGAGCAGCATCTCCTCGCAGCTGAGACTATTGCAGTTGCTGTAGGTGCTGCTCGTGGCACTCCGCGCCCGCCCTTCTTTGAGGGGTGCTCCCCCTCACCCCTTGCCCCCTCCTACACCTCTGCTGCTGCTACAAACATCTCTGTTGCTGAGGACGTCGGGGCTGCTTCTGCTAGTGCGAAGCGCCGCAGCAGTAAGGGCAAGGATGGCAAGGGTGGTGGAGGCGACAGCGGTGGTGGTGGAGGTGGCAGCGGGAGTGGTGGTGGGGGCAGTAGTGGAGGTAGTGGAGGCAGCAGAGGTGGTGGCGGCAGTGGGACTGGTGGCGGGAGTGGGAGCTCTGGTGGCGGCGGTGGAGGAAGCGGTGGGAGTGGTGGCAGTGAAGGCGGTGGGACTTGAGGCAGTAGGGCTGGACCTAGGCATGGAGGCCCTGGTGGTGGCCAGCGGCAGCAGCAGCAGTGTAGGAGCGACACCCAGTCGCCCCAGCAGCTCCGTGAGTGGTTGTTTCAGCGTGGGATGTCTGGGGGTAGTGATAGCTGCCCGTATGTCCTTCGCACGGGTGTTCGTGCTGGTTAGACATGCGGGAAGCTTCACCCTCAGCACCGCTGCTTCTCCCGCCTCGACGACGCTTGGCGTGCTGAGTTTGGTGACGACGTCGAGCTCCCTCACTAGGCAGATCTGCTTATGTCTAGGATTGCTATCTTTGACCTAGACTTTGATGCTATTCTTTCTGCTATGTATGCTTTGTCTGTTAGTGCTGAGGATGACTGTTACTGGTGTGTGCCGCCTGACCCAGGTATAGCTGCTGCTGCTCTAGGTGCTAGTGAGTCTGGTACTCTCCCTGGTACTGCGCCTGCTCAGGCCTTGCACACCTTCACGTTGGACTCAGGCGCCTCGCGCTGTTTCTTTCCTGACAGCACCACTCTCCCTGCACCGATCCCAGTCAGACTGGCTGACCCCTCTGGGGGCCCGGTTGTTGCCCGTTCCTCCAGTGTCCTCCCGTGTCCGGCAGTTCCGTCCGGCTCACTGTCAGGTCTTCACCTCCCCTCGTTCTCTACGAACTTGGTGAGTACCGCTGCCCTCCAGGATGCGATGGTCACTACCACCACTCCTGGGGGTCAGCGTGTGTCGATCTGCACAAGGACGGGGCGTCACCTGGCTACGTTCATTCGTCAGCCAAGATCGAGTCTGTACACACTGGCTACCAAGCCTCCTCAAGTAGCTGCGTCTGCTCAGGTGTCCGCGTCAGTACAGGTAGCAGCCTCTTGCTCGTGTCGCCTCCTGTCGCACCAGACTCTTCTGTGGCACCACCGCCTGGGTCACCCCTCCCTGCCACGCCTTCGTGGCATGCACTCCCGTCTTCTCATCTCTGGTCTACCCAGGTCTCTGCCTCCCCTCCCGCCCTCGCCTGCCCCGCCCTGCATTTCGTGCGTCGTGGGGCGGCAGCGCGCCGCTCCTTACTCCTCCTCGTTTCCCCCGACGACTGCTCCACTGAAGACTCTTCACATGGACGTGTGGGGCCCAGCCCGCGTTAATGGACAGGGCCGCGAGCACTACTTTCTGCTGTTAGTTGACGACTACACGCGGTACACCAAAGTCTTCCCCTTGCGCAGAAAGGGTGGGGTCGTTGATGTCTTGATCCCTTGGATCCGCACAGTCTGTCTCCAGCTCCGCGAGCGGTTCAACCAGGACCTTCCTGTCCTGCATCTGCACTCTGACAGAGGTGGTGAGTTCTCCTCCGACCTCTTGCGGGACTTTTGTCGTGGGAAGGGCATTCTCCAGTCGTTCACGCTTCCGGACTCCCCTCAGCAAAGTGGGATTGCTGAGTGCCGCATTGGCTTAGTCATGGAGGTCGCTCGTACCTCCATGATCCATGCGGTTGCTCCCCGTTTTCTGTGGCCGTTTGCGGTCCGACCCCGTGTCTCCTTACTGGAGACCTCGCCCACACTGCGTTGGACAGGGGAGGTTGGCGATGCGTCGGTGTTCCGGGTCTGGGGTTCTCGTGCCTTTGTTTGCGAAACGTCCGCGGACAACCTCTCCCCTCGTGCTATCCCTGCGTCTTCCTTGGCTTTTTCCCTAACGCGCGTGGCTGGTAGTTTTACCACCCCACCTCGCGCCGTGTCCTCTCGTCTCAGGATGTCACGTTCGACGAGTCGGTTCTCTTCTACCGTCTCTTCCCCTACCGCTCTGCCCCTCCCCCGCCCTCGCCGCTCTTCCTTGCTCCCGGTCCACCTCCGGTAGACCCCCTCCCCCCCCAGGGTCCTGCTCCCTCAGGTGTGTCTCAGGTAGACCCTCTCCCTGGTACTGCGCCTGTTGAGGTAGCTGTCGGCTCAGGTGCTGCTCCAGGTGTTGCGTATGGGGGTGCTGCGTCTGGGGGTGCGGAGCCGGGGGGTGCGGGGTCTGAGGGTGCTGGGTCTGGGGCTGCTGAGCCTGAGGGTGTTGAGCCTGGGGGTGCTGAGTCGGAGGGTGCGGAGTCTGGGGGTGCTGAACCTCGGGGTGCTGCTTCGTCTGGAGGTCCTGCTGGTGCTTCGCAGCGACTGTCTCCGCAGCAGCTGCGTAAGTGGCTTGTTCGGCGTTCACGCCTTCGGAGTGGAGCTCCCGGAGCTGGAGGCGCTGGAGACGCTAGAGCTGGAGGTGCTGGAGTTACTGCTGGAGCTGGTGGTACTGGAGGTACTGCGGCAACTGGTCCTGGAGGTGCTCGTACCAGGGGTGCTGGAGCTGCCGGGATTGGTGGTGTTGGGGGCGCTGGAGCTGGAGACCCTACGGAGCCTGGAGCTGCTGGAGCTGGAGACTCTAGCGCTGGTGTGTCGCGATATATATTTATATATGTTTATAACTGTCTGTAGCTTTAGCTTAAGTGTAGTTATACAAACCTGGTTAGTGGTGCACCTCTTGTTTGTTTGCTATATGTACCTTTGGTCCTATAGTGAACACAATCATTCTCGTCATTCTCCCTTGGCACAACGCTCCCCTCGTCACCCGCTTGGCCTAGGCTACTAAGCCTAGGCCCTAAACCCGCTTCCTAGGCTACGTTAGTATCTTGACATGGTATTGAGCTAGGTCGTTCCCGACCTATTTTTTAAAGGGCCCACCGTTAGTTATCGTGATGGCGCGTCTCGTCCTTCCCCGTCGCTCGCCCGTAGAAAAATCCGTCACGGTAGTCGTGACAGACGCGACGGTCGCGGCGGGAGTGACGGCGTTCGTCGACCCGCTGTTTCGCGCCACTGCTCTTGCCCCCCGTCTGCCCCTCGAACCGCCGCTGCCTTCCCCGTCGCCCTTCCCCGTCACGCTGCCTCGTCGCGGCTCACTGTCGCGGAAACGTCGACGGTCGCAGTGGGGGGGGGAGAGGAGAGGGGGAAAAGGGTGGCGACGGTCACTTGAGCACCAGCGCCAGCCCGCGTTCCGTCCCGTCCCATTCCGTCCCTGCCTGCCCTCCCGTCGATTTCGCAGCTGCTGTGAAGGGAGTGGCGGGCGTGGCGGGAGTGGCGGGAATGGCGGGCGTGGCGGGAGTGGCGGGAATGGCGGGCGCGGCGGGAGTGGCGGGAGAAGCTGCTGCTCCGCCACTGCATGCTACAGATCGTCCACGACCCGCAAGCCCGCCAGTAAACGAACCAGCGGACCCGCGAGCCCGCGAGCAAGCCCGTCGTCAGCTCCCCACCCCGCCACCTCTTCCCCACCTGTCCCTGCCCTGCGCGGTTGCAGCGACGGTCGCGGTGGGGGTGGGGGGGGAGGGAAGGGGGAAAGGGGTGGCGGCCCAACCGACGCGCCATCCAGCTCGCCAACCGACGCGCCAGCCAGCTTGCACCCCGCCCTGCACGACCCGTCCCTGCCCCGCCTGCATCTGCCGCGTCAGCAACTGCAATTTCCTCCCATACCCACGCTGTCCCTGCCCCAACCCGTCCCTCCCTCGTCGCGCCTTCCCCCTCTACCGCGCCTGCCTATGCCATGTTGCGCGGTGGTGGGTGTGGCGGACAGTGGGGGCGGCGGCGGCGGGAATGGCGGGAGCGGCGTGGAGGGGTTGGCGGCTCATGTGAGGGGGGGGAAGGAGTGGGGGAAAGGGGTTGTGGGCGGCTGTCAAGAGCGAGCACCAGGCACCAGCACCAGCCGCCAGCACTAGGAACCAGCACCAGCGCCAGCCGCCAGCACCAGGAACCAGCACCAGCGCCAGCCGCCAGCACCAGGAACCAGCACCAGCGCCAGCCACCAGCACCAGGAACCAGCACCAGCGCCAGCCGCCAGCACCAGGAACCAGCACCAGCACCAGCGCCAGCACCAGGAACCAGCACCAGCACCAGCCGCCAGCACCAGGAACCAGCACCAGCGCTAGCCGCCAGCACCAGGAACCAGCACCAGCGCCAGCCGCCAGCACCAGGAACCAGCACCAGCGCCAGCCGCCAGTACCAGGAACCAGCACCAGCACCAGCGCCAGCACCAGGAACCAGCACCAGCACCAGCCGCCAGCACCAGGAACCAGCACCAGCGCCAGCCGCCAGCAGCAGAGGGGTTGAGTGGGCGGGTAAGGGGGTGGAAGAAATAAGTCGGGCATTTGCAGCCGTTGCTTGTAGCAGGCACGCCCCCGGAGGTGCTGAGCGGTGCTGTCCAGCTGCTCGTTGCAGCCACAGCGCCTGCTCTCACGCCCACCTGCCGGGTCCTGCACCTGTCGCTGCTGCGTCTGCCGTGGCTGAGGTCACTGTGGCCCTATCTGCCTTCACTGCACCTGCTGCCTGTAGCAGGCACGCCCCCGGAGGTGCTGAGCCGCGCTGTCCAGCTGCTCGTTGCAGCCACGGCGCTTGCTCTCACGCCCACCTCTCGGGTCCTGCACCTGCCGTTGTTGCATTTCTCATGGCTGATCTGTGTTGCTGTTTCCTCTGCTTCTCCTACCTCTTGCCCAGGTTCCAGGGGTGTGACATGCTCTAGTTATGTGCTGCAGGCAGTTAAGGGGGTGTGTCGCGATATATATTTATATATGTTTATAACTGTCTGTAGCTTTAGCTTAAGTGTAGTTATACAAACCTGGTTAGTGGTGCACCTCTTGTTTGTTTGCTATATGTACCTTTGGTCCTATAGTGAACACAATCATTCTCGTCATTCTCCCTTGGCACAACGCTCCCCTCGTCACCCGCTTGGCCTAGGCTACTAAGCCTAGGCCCTAAACCCGCTTCCTAGGCTACGTTAGTATCTTGACATGGTGGAGCTGGCACTTAAAGTGCTAGAGCTGGAGGAGCTGGAGTTGGCGACACTGGCGCAGGAGGCGCTGGAGCTGCAGGAGCTGGAGCTGTTGACCCTGGAGCTGGAGGTGCTGGAGGCACTGTGCGGCCGCGACCGTACTTCGTTCCCCTGCTTCAGCAGGTTCTTGGTGTCCCGTCTTCTACTGGCCTTCCTCCTCCCTTACTATGTCCACCGCCTGACCAGTCGCAGCCGCCGCTACAGCCAGCCTCCTCACTGCCTGCTCCCTCTTCTTACACTAAGCAGTCCGGCGGTCTTACAGAGCATCGTGAGCCTGCGTCTCGTCCTGTCTCGCCTGTTCGCACTCCTCGTCGCGCTCCTCGTTCGCGTCCTCCTCCTGTCCCCGGCATGCACGCTATGGCACTCCGTCCTTCCTCTGTTCCACTGCGTGTTCCTCTGCCTACTCCTCCTGAGTCCTCTCTTCCTGAGGTCCCTGACCCTGAGTTTGACCGCGCTCGTGCTGCCAGTCCCACTGTCTCTCGTCTCCTCGCCACGGCTGTCATAGACCCTTCTTTTGAGTCTGCTGCTGCGTCTGCTCTCGTTGCTGAGCTGCTTGACTTTGCTGTTGCCTGCCGTCTAGACTACGCCACTGCTCCAGTTGCTAAGTCTGCGTCTGCCAGTCCTCTGTCCGCTGGGGGTGAGTGTGCTCTTGGCACGGACGTCCTTGAGGACAGGCAGGAGGACTTTGAGTGTCTTGCAGCTGCTGTACCTCGTTTCGCGTCCATGCTGCTTGCCCCTGAGGGAGACCCGGATGCACCAGACATCCCGACCCCGCGCTCTTACGCAGAGGCGATTACGGGTCCTTACTCCTCTCAGTGGCAGGCAGCCATGGATGCCAAGATGGCATCCTGGAAGTCCACAGGCACCTACGTCGACGAGGTTCCCCCACCTGGGGCGAACATAGTCGATGGCATGTGGATCTTCAGGGTGAAGCGGCCGCCGGGTTCTCCGCATGCCTTCAAGGCGCGCTACGTTGCTCGAGGCTTCAGTCAACGACAGGGGGTTGACTACTTCGAGACCTTCTCCCCCACCCCGAAGATGACTACTCTTCGGGTACTGCTGCACGTCACTGCTCACCGTGACTACGAGTTGCACTCTCTGGACTTCAGCACGGCTTTCCTGCAGGGCAGCCTGCACGAGGAGATCTGGCTGCGCCGCCCACCTGGATTTACTGAGTCTTTTCCTGCAGGTACTCAGTGGAGCCTCCGGCGGCCAATGTACGGTCTCCGCCAAGCGCCTCGGGAGTGGCACGACACACTGAGGACTACACTTGCGGCTCTTGGGTTTGCTCCGGCTACTGCTCACCTGTCGCTGTTTCTACGCACCGACACCTCACTGCCGCCGTTCTACGTCCTCGTCTACGTCGACGACCTTGTCTTTGCCACTGCTGACATTGAGGCACTGACCCTTGTGAATTCGGAGCTGCAAAAGAGACACACCTGCACTGACCTGGGTGAACTGCGCAGCTATCTTGGCTCGCAGATCACCTGGGACAGAGCACGGCGCACCATCACCCTAACTCAGTCACACATGGTGCAGCAGGTCCTTCAGCGCTTCGGCTTCTAGTTCTCCTCGCCACAGCCCACTCCTCTGTCTACCAGCCACTCGCTCTCAGCTCCACCTTCGGACGAGTCCGTAGAGCAGAGTGGTCCGTACCCAGAGCTTGTGGGTTGCTTCATGTACCTGATGACGTGCACACAACCTGACCTCGCGTACCCTCTCAGCCTTGTGGCTCACTACGTGGCTCCCGGTAGGCACCGAAAGGTGCACTGGGATGCTGCGAAGAGGGTACTGCGTTACTTGTGCAGTACGTCGGGCATGGGGCTCATGCTTGGAGGACGGGGTCCAGTTGTCCTCACTGGTCACGCTGATGCTTCGTGGGTTGACGACTCAGCTACGTAGCGGTCGTCACAGGGTTACACCTTCGGCCTTGGCTCTGGCTCTGTTTCCTGACGGTCTACCCGTTCGTCTTCGGTTCTCAGCTCTAGTTGTGAGGCTGAGATCTACGCCGGGGCCATGGCTGCACAGGAGCTACGCTGGCTCACCTACGTGCTGACCGACTTAGGAGAGCAGCCTCGTTCGCCTCCATTTCTGTACGTAGATAACAAGGCCATGATTGCCTTGTGTCAGGAGCACAGAACGAAGCACATCGCTCTGCGATACTTCCTTGCTCGAGAGTTGCAGCAGCGTGGCCAGCTTCGTCTTGCGTAAGTGGCCACTAGGGCCAACACTGCTGATACATTCACCAAGGCACTTCCGCCTGGTGATCATCAGCGCTTCTCTACTGTGTTAGGCCTTGTGCCTACTTTGCCTCCCTTGCTTACTGCGTGACTTTGCTTGTACTGTGATCTCTATATATACATGCATGCCTGCACTTGCTAGGGTATGATCACTGTATTGTTTATTGTCTTTTATATAACTCTGCATGTGAACTGGCCTTGTGGCCCTTTGCTTGTGCTCGGACTGTGTGGTGACTTTGTGATCCACCCTGAGCTTGCTTTGCTTTTCTTGACTGGTCTTGTGACCACTTCTTCTCTCCCACTTTGCCTATGGGGGTGTGTCAGACTTATATATAGCTTACATTGTGTAGGCTGTAGTGGGGTAGCCCCTAAGGGGTACAACCCAATTAGGGTTAGTACTTGTACCCAACTCTTTGCTAGTTCATTCATTCTCGTTCACTGTTTTTGACAGCGCATACTATACGCCACCTTGAATTTGAATGTGAATTAGAGGTGGTGATGCGAAGAATCCTGAGTGGCTCTCATACCATGATACAACCTGAACCGTCTTATAGGATTGTCTCAGGTTGATCACACTGAGTGTAATAACGGAAGATTGCTTGGTAATGTCGGGTACGGACTCTGTCAAAAGAGGGAGATTTGAATCTCGATAGAAGTGATGAATACAATGCGGTACAAGGGTTTATATAGGAATACAGTGGAGTTCGAAAGGTACTAGCTAGCCATGTACTCTGAGGGGGTACATTCCCCTTAGGGCTAATCTAGATGCAGGATAGCAACAGTGCGGTTTAGAAACCGTATGCGGTTCGGTAACCGTTTGAAGATTTCCCGCGCTGTGCTCTTCGAATTCTTACTGCGTGTAACTGTCTTCGGTAACTGTCTTGACTCTCAATCTTCGTCCTTGCTGCAGTCATCTTCGTGTTAAGGATTCGTTACTTCATGAATGCTTATTCAACTATTCCGTAACGTAACAGAGTGGCCATTTTGTATGATCAGGCTCGTAAAATCATTTAACAAGTAACATGAAAATAATCCAACTACCTTATTCAGATTCAGACCATTTAATTGAAAATCTGCATATCAGACTAGCAGACCATACTGGGTGAAAAATATGGCCTCTTCTGTAGTTTAGTAGTTGGATGTAATATAGGACTAATCTTTTCCATAATGCGGATGCGGGTGCGCTCCCCTGTCGACATCAAGATCGACGAATCCAAGGCCACAGTCGTCGGCTCGCCGCGGTTTAGTCTAGGCGGGAACGCAGGCAGCATCCCACATGAAGATCGCCTCGCGAGGCGACGTAGCGTAGCGAGGAACGTAGCGGACGACGTAGCGAGCGACGCATGAGCGATGGGTAACCAGGTGGTGATCGCGAAGGCGGCGGCGGGCGTGGCGTCGGACTACTGGGTGCACGACCTGCCGCGCGGCGTGGTGCTCAAGGACGTGCTGGCGCCGGGCCGCTTCCTGAAGACGCTCGACTGCTTCCACCACGAGGGCCGCGTCATCGTCAAAGTCTTCCTCAAACGCGCCGACCTCGCGCTCCCGCTGCAGGCCAGTCATCCCCGCTGCCACTGGCAGTTCCGCGTTACAGGCGCAATTGAACCTTTCCGTGCCGCAATTTCGTAAGGTGGCGTCACAGGCGAGTGAGAGTGAGCGGGTTATGGGGAGAGAGTGGCGCTCGGGGAACAACCCCGTGGATGAGGGGGATGGCCTCAGCGCCACGTGCCTCTGGAGCGGCTAGAGAGCCATCGCCGCTGGCCAGGCACGCTGTGCGCTCGCCTCGGCCTCCTGACAGCCGCAGATTGCCAAATGGCCTCCTTACCCCCATCCCATCCCGTGCTGCGCCCTTACCTGCGCCCTCCCCTGCGCCCTCCCCTCCGCCCGCCCCTGTCTCCCCCGGCGCCAGGCGTACGAGCAGCAGCTGAAGGTCATTCGCCACCGCCTCTCAGGCATCGACAAGTCGCACGTCTGGCCCTTCCAGGTGCGCCCTGCCCTTCCAGGTGCGCCCTGCCCTTCCAGGTGCGCCTATGCACCACTGCCTGCCGCATGCACCACTGGCCCATCGCCTTTCTCTCCCGCCACTACCCACCCTTCCTCTCCACCGATCTATTTCTGACGATTCAGCCTCATCCCCCGCTGCCACCCGCTTGCGTGTTCCCTTCCACCCTGCCTCCAGTTCTCTGGTCCTCTCTCTCAAACCTCCCCCCTATCTGTCCGCTCCGCTGCCCCCTCCCTTGGCCAGAAGTGGTACGAGACAGAGAGGGCGGCGTATGTGCTGAGGCAGTACCTCTTCAGCACGCTGCACGACCGCCTCGGCACGCGCCCCTTCCTCGGCCTCACCTTCAAGAAGTGGATCGCCTTCCAGGTGCGTCTCTCTTGGAGGATCGCTTTCCAGGTGCGCTGCTGCCTTCCAGGTGCGCTGCTGCCTTCCAGGTGTGCTGCTGCCGTCCATGCGGCGTTGCCGTCCAGGCGATCCAAGTGTTGTGCTCCTCCCATGGCGCGTGGATCGCCTTCCACAAGCCCATGCCTCAACCTGCTGCTCCCAACCTTTTCAGGCCGGCAGCTTTCAGGTGCAGCTCTCGAGGCCTTGAGTGTTTCTCGTCCATCCCTGCCAGGTTCTTTTGTCACTCATCAGCTCTACAGTGAGTTCGTCCTTTCCCTCTCGTCCCTCTCTCCCCCACCTCTCCCCCACCGCGCAGATCCTCAAGGCGTTGGACCAGGCGCACTCACGGGGGGTCTGCCATGGTGCGCCGCCTCCCCACTCCCCTCGCTTCCCTGCCCGCACTTTCCCTCACTCGCCACCTCTCACTCCGCTGCTTTCTTCTTTCGCCCTCTCACTGCTGCCGTGCCCTCTCACTGCTGCCGTGCCCTCTGTCGCTATTGCTCACTTCCCTGTGTCCTTCTCAGCTTCTCCCCACGTTCACCACCATGCCACCATTGCCTGCCATGCCATGAGTCTCACGCCCCCCCACCTTAACTCGCTCATCATCTCCACCTCTCCCTCCTCATACCCACTCACCTCCCCCTCACCACGCATCACGAGCAACCAATAGGCGCTCACAGTACGCTCACAATAGACGCCTCCTCTTCTAAGTCTTGCTTACGTCATGCACCCACTCCATTCCACATCATGCTTGTGAGGGTGTTCCGGTTCCGCCATCTCGCCCTCATACCCAATCGCATGTACCATGCACCCATGCACCCATGCACCAATGCACCAACACGTGTCTATCACCCATGCCCATGCATGCATGATACATGGGGGCCCGGGCGGGCAGGCGATCTGAAGGCGGACAACGTGTGTGTGACGGCGTGGAACTGGGTGTTTGTGGTGGACTGGGCGCCCTTCAAGCCCGTCCTCGTGCCCTCCGACAACCCCGCCATCTTCTCCTTCTTCTTCGACACCGCCCCCTCCGGCCGCCGCCGCTGCTGCATCGCCCCTGAGGTGCGCCCCCCCGTTGCCTTTCCCCCCACCCGCGCTGTTCCCCCCCACCCAAACCCAGGCTTGCTCCTTCCCCCTTTCCTCTCCTTCAGTAGATCCCCTGGAAACTACTTGCACACCGACTTAGGATTTAAAAAGCATTCTAGTACGAATGTGAGGCAGTAGTCTATCACTAGCACACACTCTCGTTCTTTGCACTCTTTTTCCGGACTGCTGCAATGCCATGTGTGATGCGGCATGGCCACCATGCCCCATGCAACACACATGGCGCATGTGCCTGGGATCGACATGCTCTCACGACGTGGAACATTTGGTTCTGCATGCATGTGTCCTGGTGTGTGTATTGATGCCATGACGTGGCATGGCATGGCATGGCATGGCACGGCATGGCATGGCATGGCATGGCATGGCACGGCATGGCATGGCATGGCACGGCATGGCATGGTATGACATATCATGACATAATGCGACGGCATGTCAGCGGTTTGTGTCGGCGAGTGAGTGGAGGCAGAGGCAGAGTGAGGGGGAGGGTGGGGCGGGGGGAGCACAGCTACAGCCCGCCATGGACATTTTCTCCGCGGGGTGAGTGCTGCTCTCTCTGTGTGTTTGCATGCTGCTAAGGTGGTGGGAAAGGGGACCGGAACGGTGTGAGGGGATGACGGGTGGGATGGTTGCATGCATGCCATGCGAATCCCACCATGCCGCACGCACAAGCCCGGTGGAGTCAAGCCTTCCCCTTGCCCGATAGGGTCCGTGCCCGCCCTTCCGTTGTTGGCCCCCTTTGGGCTGAACCTTGCTGCAGGCTCATTCTGCCGTCGTTTAAGCACTGTGCTGTGTGGTGCTGTGCTGTGTGGTGCTGTGCTGTGCTGTACTGTGCTGTGCTGTGCTGTGCTGTGCTGTGATGTGCTGTGCTGTGCTGTGCTGTGCTGTGCTGTGCGGTGCTGTGCTGTGCTGTGCTGTGCTGTGCTGTGCTGTGCTGTGCTGTGCTGTGCTGTGCTGTGCTGTGCTGTGCTGTGCTGTGCTGTGCTGTGCTGTGCTGTGCTGTGCTGTGATGTGCTTGCTGTCACGCTGCCAATCCCGCCTCTGTGAACGCTCGCTGCTAACTCCTGCTCCCCACGCCTCGTGCCTCCTTGCAACACACTCCCTCCCAGGGGACAAGCACCCTTCCTTGACCCCACCTCCCCCCACCGCCACACTACCCTCTCCCTGTGTGCGTGGCAGGTGTGTGATAGCGGAGATGTTTTTAGACGGCGATGTGCTCTTCGACCTCTCCTCGCTGCTCGCCTACGTGCACGGCTCCTACGACCCCTTCCCTCTCATCGATCGTGTATGCCCCACCCACCCGCCACTCAACGGGTGTGCCCCACGGGCCTTGTAGCGGGTATGCCGCACTGCTGCCTGGGGGGATCCACATGTCTCCCATCACATCCCACCCGCCCTTCTTCTGCGCTCCCCTCGCTATTTCCCCTCCACCGCACCGCTTCCGCATTCTCCTGCCACACTCGAAATGCCTCCCATGTTTCTCGTACTAACCCCCCTCCCCTTACTTTCCCCTGATCCCGTGCCCTTCATTCATTCAGAGCCCTGGTGGCGCACATGGAGCAGAGGGACCCTTGGCGCTGTTTCCACAGCCAGTGGTTCATCTGGTGGCCGTGCCTGCACTCCCTGCTGCTATCCCACTTCTCTTCTTCCCTCTCTGCGCTGCCTACCCCCATCCCCTCGCCCTTCTCCGTCCGTCTGCATGGCAGATCCCGTGCCCATCAGTGCGAGCCCTGGTGGCGCACATGGTGCAGAGGGACCCCGCACAGCGCCTGCCAGCAGCGGCGTACCTGACGGCGTTCAGCGACCCCCAGGGCGGTGCGCTCTTCCCCCAGCCCGCCTTTGACGCCCTGCACGACCACCTCTTCTGCCACCTGCCCTCCATGGACGCTGATGGCCGGGTAACATGGGGTAGGGGGGTCATGGTGCTGGGGTGGGTGATGGGGTGGGTGCTGGGTTGGGTGATGGGGTGGGTGCTGGGGTGGGTGATGGGGTGGGTGATGGGGTGGGTGATGGGGTGGGTGATGGGGTGGGTGACGGGGTGGGTGATGGGTGACGGGGTGGGTGATGGGGTGGGTGATGGGGTGGATGATGGGGTGGGTGATGGGGTGGGTGCTGGGGTGGGTGATGGGGTGGGTGCTGGGGTGGGCGATGGGGTGGGTGATGGGGTGGGTGATGGGGTGGGTGATGGGGTGGGTGATGGGGTGGGTGATGGTGGGTGATGGGGTGGGTGATGGGTGACGGGGTGGGTGATGGGGTGGGTGATGGGGTGGGTGATGGGTGGGTGATGGGGTGGGTGATGGGGTGGATGATGGGGTGGGTGATGGGGTGGGTGCTGGGGTGGGTGATGGGGTGGGTGCTGGGGTGGGTGATGGGGTGGGTGATGGGGTGGGTGATGGGGTGGGTGATGGGGTGGGTGATGGGGTGGGTGATGAGTGGGTGATGGGGTGGGTGATGGGGTGGGTGACGGGGTGGGTGATGGGGTGGGTGATGGGGTGGGTGATGGGGTGGGTGACGGGGTGGGTGATGGGTGACGGGGTGGGTGATGGGTTGGGTGATGGGGTGGATGATGGGGTGGGTGATGGGGTGGGTGCTGGGGTGGGTGATGGGGTGGGTGATGGGGTGGGTGCTGGGGTGGGTGATGGGGTGGGTGATGGGGTGGGTGCTGGGGTGGGTGATGGGGTGGGTGATGGGGTGGGTGATGGGGTGGGTGATGGGGTGGGTGATGGGGTGGGTGATGGGGTGGGTGATGGGTGGGTGATGGGGTGGGTGATGGGTGACGGGGTGGGTGATGGGGTGGGTGATGGGGTGGGTGATGGGTGGGTGATGGGGTGGGTGATGGGGTGGATGATGGGGTGGGTGATGGGGTGGGTGCTGGGGTGGGTGATGGGGTGGGTGATGGGTGGGTGATGGGGTGGGTGATGGGTGACGGGGTGGGTGATGGGGTGGGTGATGGGGTGGGTGATGGGTGGGTGATGGGGTGGGTGATGGGGTGGGTGATGGGGTGGGTGATGGGGTGGGTGATGGGGTGTGTGATGGGGTGTGTGATGGGTGGGTGATGGGGTGGGTGACGGGGTGGGTGATGGGGTGGGTGACGGGGTGGGTGATGGGTGACGGGGTGGGTGATGGGGTGGGTGATGGGTTGGGTGATGGGGTGGGTGATGGGGTGGGTGATGGGGTGGGTGATGGGGTGGGTGATGGGGTGGGTGATGGGTGGGTGATGGGGTGGGTGATGGGTGACGGGGTGGGTGATGGGGTGGGTGATGGGGTGGGTGATGGGTGGGTGATGGGGTGGGTGATGGGGTGGATGATGGGGTGGGTGATGGGGTGGGTGCTGGGGTGGGTGATGGGGTGGGTGATGGGGTGGGTGATGGGGTGGGTGATGGGTGGGTGATGGGGTGGGTGATGGGTGACGGGGTGGGTGATGGGGTGGGTGATGGGGTGGGTGATGGGTGGGTGATGGGGTGGGTGATGGGGTGGGTGATGGGGTGTGTGATGGGTGGGTGATGGGGTGGGTGACGGGGTGGGTGATGGGGTGGGTGACGGGGTGGGTGATGGGTGACGGGGTGGGTGATGGGGTGGGTGATGGGTTGGGTGATGGGGTGGGTGATGGGGTGGGTGATGGGGTGGGTGATGGGTGGGTGATGGGGTGGGTGATGGGGTGGGTGATGGGGTGGGTGATGGGGTGTGTGATGGGTGGGTGATGGGGTGGGTGACGGGGTGGGTGATGGGGTGGGTGACGGGGTGGGTGATGGGTGACGGGGTGGGTGATGGGGTGGGTGATGGGTTGGGTGATGGGGTGGGTGATGGGGTGGGTGATGGGGTGGGTGATGGGGTGGGTGATGGGGTGGGTGATGGGGTGGGTGACGGGGTGGTGGGAGTTGGGTGATGCTGATGGGATGCTCATGCTGCTGCAGGTGCCTCCCATTCACATGCACTGATTTGCCGTTGCTGCGGGTGCTGCCAGCATGGGCAGCAGCAGCGGGGTGGCTGGGGGGCATGGGCTGACACCACAGCTCCTCGAACACGCCCTAACTCTTTGCACTTCCCTCCCACTATGCCCTCTGCACTGCCTCGCCTCTCCCCCCCTCTGCTCTGCCTCACCTCCTCCCCCTCCCCCAGATCGCCCTCACCCGCCAGCTCTACCCGCGCCTGTCTCGCATCATCGCCTCCTCGCTGCAGGGGGGTGGGGAGGGGGATGCCGAAGGGAAGGGGGTTGGGGATGGGGCGGGCGGGAAGGGTAGTGGTGGAGAGGCAGAGAGGGGGGAGAGTGGAGTGTGGGGAAGTGGGGGTGGGGAGCAGGGGGGTGAAGAGGAGGTGGCAGTGGAAGGGGGCGTGGAGGGGAGTGGTGGATTGAGTGGGGATGAGCAGGGGCGTCGTTGTGAGCAGGTGACAAGCAGTGTGAGGGAGAAAGATGATGAGAGCCAGCAGGGCAGCAGCAGCAGCACCGCGTGTGAGAGTGACACAGGTGATGGCACAGGCGCTGATGGCGTGGGAACAGGCGACATTATTCTTGCCACTGAGATAGGCGAGGGAGGTGGGAGAGTTGTGAGAGCTGAGAGTGCAACAAAACCTGGGAGAGGCAGCACAGGCACACGGGGTAGTGCGAGTGAGGGCATGGGAGGCAACGTGGGCAACAGCGGCAGCGCCATGGTGCTGCTGGTGGGGCTGCTCACTGCCTGTCTGCGCAACGCTCGCCTGCCGCACTCCCGCCGCCACTGCCTGCTGCTGCTGCACGCAGCAGCGCACCACTGCTCGCACGCGGTGTGTCTGCAGGCCGTGGCGCCCTTCCTCGTGGCCGTGCTGGCCTTGGACGGCCTCACCGCCACGCCTCTGCACGCCCTCGACACGCTCCTCCCCGGTGGGGCTGCCAGCCCGCCCCTCGTGCGCTGCACGGCGCTCACAGTGCTCACGCACCTGCTGGCGCGCGTGCGCTGCTTCCCCTCCACGGACGCGCGCTTCTTCCCCGAGTACCTCTTCCCCTCGCTCTCCCTGCTCCCCCGCTCGCCCGATGAGAGTGTGCGCGCCACGCTCGCCCTCTGCCTGCCCTCACTCGCTGCCTCCGCCCTGCGCTTCCTGCTGCTCGCCGCGGGGGGAGCCACCTGCGCCACTGGGGGAAGCGAGGGGGAATCCGGGCAGGGGGCGAGTGAGGGAGAGAGGAAAACCAGCGGTCCTTCAGGGGGGGAGTGGGGCGATGGCGATGACGACAGCAGCAGCGGCGTGCTGGGCTTGTCTCTAGCAACCTCCAGCCTGCCCCCATCCCAGCGGGTCAGCAGCGGCGCCACGCTCACGGCGCTCAAGGCGTTGGCAGCAGCAGCAGAGTGCCTGCCAGAGCAGCACATGGGCGAGGTAGCGGAGGTGAGGGAGGCGGTGCGAGTGGCGGTGGAGGAGCTCTCCACGCTGCCCCGCAGCACCCCGCCCATCCGCCTCTCCCTGCTAAGCCACGCCCCCTCCCTCGCTGTCTTCCTCGGCCCCCCCCTCGCCACCACCGCGCTGCTCCCCCTGCTCATCACCTTCCTCAACGACCCCTCCCCCCGCGTGCGCTCTGCCTTCTTCCACACGCTGCCCGCGCTCTGCCCCCATGTGGCCCCCTCCGCCCTGCCCGCCTTCCTCCTGCCCTGCCTTGAGCAAGCCCTGGGGGACACCTCTCACCCGTCCGTGCCGGTTGCTGCTGCCGCGTGCCTGGCCCAGCTCGCGCGCTCCCAGCGCCTGCAGCAGCGGCGGTGGCTGCTGTCAGCAGCGCGGCATGCAGCGCCGCTGCTGAGGCACCCTGAAAGGGACGTGAGGGGCGCTGCTGTGGCGTTTGCAGCGGCTGCTGCGGGTCAGCTGTCGGCAGTTGACGCCCACGCGCTGCTGCTGCCGCTGCTCTCCCCCTCCCTGCGCTACTGCCCTGCGCTGCTCACCTCCCCCGCCTCGCTTGCTGCTGCGCTCAAGGCACCCCTGTCAACCCACCCTGCTGCCCTGCCCCACCCACCCCTCCCAGCCCAAGCAGGTGTGGCATCCTGGCAGATGAATGCAGGGCAAGCAGCGCCCCACCTCCACGTGCCGCTTGCACTCTCACCTGCTGCTGCACGTGAAACGGAGGCTGGCCGTGCTCCTGCAGGTGCGGGTGTGGGTGAGCATGGCAGCAAGAGAGGAGTTGGTGCAATGGGCGGCGAGGAAGAGCAAGGTGGAGACATGGGAGCAGGGGGCCGGGGGGAAGGAGGCGCAGCAGACATGCAAGGGAAGCGGTTGGTGTGGCAGGAGGAGGGGATGGACGTGGCGTTGGTAGGGCGAGCGGCAGCAGCGCAGCACGTGGCATCGTCGACACTCGCACACTCCCTCTCCATGCAATATGCTGTGCCCCCCGCACAGGGAGCAGCAGCAGCAGCGCCATACCCGGCCATGTCTTCCGCACTTGCCAGCATGCGCACAGACACGGGGCAGCCCTGGCCGCCCTTCCCCTCCACTGTTCCATGGCCCGCCACCTCCCACTGGCCTGCTTCCACCGCTCACTGGCCCTCCACACCCCTCCACACTCCCCTGCTTGCCTCTGCATCCCACTCTCTCCTCGTCCCCCCTCTCCCCCCTCTCCACCCCTCCATCTCCCCGCTCCACCCTGTTCAATTCCCATCCCCTCGCCCCGCGTCCTCCCCCCTCTCGCTCTCCTTGTCCTTCCACCGCCCCCCTCCTCCCCTCACCACCCACCCGCCCTCCTCTCTCACCTCCTCCACCACTCACCAACCCCTTTCCACACACTCTCTCGCTCCCATCCACCTCCCCCTTGCTCCCTCTCTCCCGTCTCTCCCCTCTCCCTCGTCGTACCCCTCGCCCCACTCCCCATCGGCCTCCTTCTCTCTCGCCCCTGCCAGCCCACACGCACAGTCGCACCCAGCATTGGACCTGCCAGCCCTCGCGGTGCCTCTTTATTCACTCGCCCACCCCGCCTCCGCCCTGCCCACTGCAGCCTCCACCTCCGCGCTTCCCTCTACCACCCTCTCTCCGCCCTCACTGCCTCGCCCCCCTTCAGCACTCTCACCCTCCGCCTCACCCACTGCCCCTCTTGCCACTGCTGCTGTCACTGCGGCTGCTGCAGCCTGTGCAGGCGGCACAGGGCAAGCCACTCTAGACACGCTGGCAGCCGCAGAAGCTACCAGTGCTGCTGCTGCTGCTGCCCCACTGCCTGCGCCTGCCTCACCATCTGTTCCTGCTGCCGCCACCAGCGTCTCTTCCTCCTGCTCTCATGCCACATCTCTGCCTGCTCAAGCACCCACCAATCCCGTTGTGGGGGCATGCGAGCAGTCCCTCGCTGCTGCTGCTGCTGCGCGCTCCACTCACCCACCTGCACCTCACCTCTCATCGCCCGCTCATCTCCCCTTTGCCTTTGACTTGCTTGACGACCTCCCCTCTCCCCCGCCCACCTCCTCCCCTCTCCCCACTTCCCACTCTGCCTCCCATCTGTCCCTCCCACCACCCATCACTCCGATTTCCGCCACCACACCCACCAGCACCCCAACGTGCTTCCCACCCCCTAACGCCCTCCCTCCTGACACAGCCCCTCTCCTCCCCCACACACTGCGCGGCCCCCCTCCCGCCCCTCCGCCCCCCGCGCCGGTGTCGCACTCACTAGTGTTCCTGGGAACCACGCAGCCCCACACGCGCATCTCCTCCCTCTCCCTCTCCCTCTCCCTCCGCTCCTCCCGCCGCCCCCCCTCCTCCTCCGCCCTCCCTCCCTCCGCCTCCCCGACTCCTCATACCCTCCCCCCTGCCATGCCTGCTGCAGGAACTGCCAGCATGCGTGCAGCAGAGGCTCGGCAGGGAGGCAGAGCAGAGGGCGGGATCAACAGACGTGTGTGTGCGGCAGGCAGGGAGGGTCACACGGCGCTACTGGAGAGGCCGAGGACGTTAGCTGGTGGTGTTGCTGCACACGAGGTGCCAGCGCGTGCAGCAAGTCACGCTCAATCATCTGTGGCTGATCGCAGTGCCGCCCATGTCAATGCCACGTCATCTGCCACGTCTGCATCTCCACATCTCGTGGAACCAGGTGGGGTGCGTGCGGGGACCACGGGACATGCACAGCTGCCAGCAGCAGCACAGTTAGCACCGCCATCAGCAGCGGGTCAGCCAGCAGGGGCAGAGGCCGAGGAGACCAGGGAGCGAAGAGCAGCAGCAGTGAGCGAGGAGGTGCAGAGGCTGCTGGGGTGGGGCAGTGCGGACGACGGTGCAGCCATGGCGCTGCCCCCCGCCTCGCCCTCACCACTCTCCACCACAGCAGCAGCAGCAGCATGGCGGCCACGCGGAGTGCTGGTGGCGCAGCTCCATGAGCACCGCGCCGCCGTGCCCGCGCTGGCAGTGGCGCCCAACAGCCAGTGGTTCGCATCGGCCTCACATGACGGCACTGTAAAGGTGTGGGATGCCACTCGCCTCGACCGCGGCACTGCCTTCCGCTCCAAGCTCACCTATGCGTCGGGGGGAGCAGCAGCGGGAGGGGCAGGCCGGGCGACAGCTGTGGCAGTGATGGGGGACAGTGCGACGGCGGCAGTGGGGTACGCGAGTGGGGAAGTGCACGTGGTGCACGTGGACTATGCGCCGCGCTTCCTCTCCTCGCCCGACTCCTACCGCTGCATCACCCGCATGCCCTCCCTCGAGCCCTCCTCCTCCTCCAACCACGGGCCAGGTGCCTCAGGAGGCGCGATCCTCTCGGTGCACTCATGGGCCGCCTCCCACCTGGCCGCCACGCAGTCTCCCCTCTCCGCTTCCTCCTCCTCGCTCTTCGCTTCCAACCCCCTCTCCTCCTCCCACTCACTCCTCCTCGTTGCCTCACTGCACGGCGGCATCACCCTGTGGGACATGAGAGCCGCCCGCCCTGCCTTCTCGCTGCACCTGCACGCGTCGCTAGGAGCGCCCACCCACGTGCTGCCCGACCCGCAGCACGGCCTGTGGCTGCTGGCCGCCTCCTCCTGCTCCGCGCTCTGCCTCTGGGACCTGCGCTTCCTGCTTCCCCTCTCCTCCTGGCGCCTCCCCTCCGCCCCCTCCGCGCCCCACCCGCCCCCCATCACTGCGCTGGCGCCCATGCTGCCAGCGGCCTTCCCCCCCGCAGGGGACGCCATGGGGGCAGCGGCAGCAGGGGGACCGGAGCACCTGCCAGGGTGGTTTGAGGCGGACCGGGGGAGGGGAGGCAAGGGGGGAGGGGCAGTGGGAGCGGCAGGGGGTGGGGCAGCAGGAGCGGGTGCAGCAGGAGCAGTAGGGGGGGCGTCGCGGCCTCTGGTGTATGTGGCAAGTGGCAGGGACGAGGTTGGGCTGTGGAGTGCAGACACGGGGCAGTGCCACCAGGTACGGTGCCACCAGGTACAGTGCCACCAGGTACGGTGCCACCAGGTACGGTGCCACCAGGTACGGTGCCACCAGGTACGGTGCCACCAGGTACAGTGCCACCAGGTACGGTGCCACCAGGTACAGTGCCACCAGGTACGGTGCCACCAGGTACGGTGCCACCAGGTACGGTGCCACCAGAATAAATCCAAAACCCCAGACAATGATGCAATGATAAGAGCGTTAGTGCATGGCCTGTCGTTCCACCGTCGTGCCGTTCCACTCTATTCCATACTCCCACATGATTGCTTCATACTTCATCTGCAATGATCCTCACCTGCCCCGTTCCACCTTCCTCCCCTCCCAGGTCTTCTCCGTGGCCCCCCAGCCCTCCTCCAACACCGCTTCCCCACCCTCCCTGCCCTCGCCCTCCAACCTCCCCACCGCTCTGCAATCCCGCGCACACCTGCTGCCACTGCCGCCCTTCTCCACCACCACCACCACGCCCTCCGGCCACACGCTCTCCTCCTCGCCCTGCTTGCCCAACGGCCCTCTGCCCCAGTCAACGCAGTCAACACAGTCAAGCGGGGCAAGTGGGACAAGGCAGGGAAGGCAGTCAGCGCTGCGGGTGGAGCAGCTGAAGGAGCCACCGGGCAGGGCGGGGGGGGTGAGGGCGCTGCTGGGAGTGCCAGGGGGCAGTGCGCTGCTCACAGCCGGCACTGACTGCTGCATCCGCTACTGGTGCCGCCTCAGGTGATTGCTGTCTCAGGTGATTGCTGTCTCAGGTGATTGCTGTCTCAGGTGATTGCTGTCTCAGGTGATTGTTGTCTGATGTGATTGCCACCTCAGGTGATTGCCACCTCAGGTGATGCTCTGCGGGTGGCCCGTACAGAGTACACTGCAGGTGATGCTCCCTGTGTCAGAGGTCCACTGGTGATCCCCGATTGATCCTAGGGAAGGGTTACAGGCTCGTTGTCCTGGGGGGTTATGGGCGCATTGACCCGCTACTTAAAAAGCCCTTTTATCCCAATGGTCTAGTGGTTGGGATTCTGACATGTTTTCAGAGCGAAGGTCTTGGGTTCGAATCCCAGTGTGTGCACTTCGGGCATCCTAGTGCGGGGGGGTGTCAAAGATCCACTGGTGATTCCCGATTGATCCTAGGGAAGGGTTATAGGCTCGTTGTACTGGGGGGTTATGGGCGCACTGACCCGCTACTTAAAAAGCCATTTTATCCCAATGGTCTAGTGGTTGGGATTCTGACACCCTGTGTCCATTGCCATAGCTCTCTATCCATTTCCTCACTCCCCTCCCCCCCCTCCCCCTCCCCCCCGCCTCCTTTCCTCCCGGGCGAGAGGGCAGGCCGGAGCAGAGTGGGTGGGTGAGCGGGCCCACAGCCAGGGGGGCGCGGGGAGAGGTGCTGCACCCGCGCTACGACATGCGCATCGTGCATGGCGCGAGAGTCATTCAGGTGCGTGCATTGACAGCCTGCCTCCCTTGCACTGCGTTCCCATCCACTGGTTGCTGCAAACACCAGTCTCACTCCCACCCACTTGTCTTCCACTCTGTTCATCCCATCCGTCCAACGTCACCCTCTCCCACACCTCGTCTATCCCACGCCACCCACCGCAGGAGACACCGCCCCCCTTCTACGTGGACGCGACGCGCCAGCGAGGCAGCGGTACGGGCGCCTCCACTGCAGAGGCAGGCGGGCGGGCAGGAGCAGGCAGTCAGGGGCACGCAGATACAGGCCCGGGCGGGGCAGCTGGAGGAGGTGGAGGGGCAGGGGGAGGGGGGCGGCGCAGCATGGTGGAGGTGGCGGCGGTGGATGTGGGGGGGTGCCACCGCGATGCCGTGCTGGCACTGGCCGTGGCGGACCCGGGGCAGCGCCTGCTGCTCTCCGCCAGTCGTGACGGTGTCGTCAACGTCTGGCGCTAATTCCCCCTCCTGCCCTGGACTAGAGGCTTGTGTTGGGGGGCGCAGGTTCACGGTGTGAGTGGCTCGTGTACAGATAGTATAGCAGGCATTCGAGGGATGATGGTAGTGAATAGAGGTGCTTCATCTATTTTGCGTGAATGTAAGATTCTAGTCCGCGTGCCTTATTTTGCGCCTCGTCTTGTGTATCGTATATCAATGCCATTCGTACATTACCAAGTTTGTTCATAATGTTGGTGTCCATAATGGCAAGCAATCTGGTTTTCCAAGTTTGTTCAGGTAAGGTTCAAGCACGATTCCAACGAACCAAAGATTGCAGGAAATGATCAACTATTGCCAAAGATACACACAATTTATGACTAAAAGTAGTAGTGACTTTAGTAGTGACTAAAGTTGATTTATGGTCAGGCCCCCAGATTCGTTTTTGGGTTGTCTTATTTGTCAGACTTACCGTATCACCCCGGATAGAAGCGCAGGCCTATGATAAGCGCATGCGCTTCTATCTGGAGCAATGCGCTTATGGCTGATCCTCAACTATAAGCGCTAATTATAAGTCTGATCAATCAGACTTGGTACATTTTTTTTTTTTTTGAAATTTCAGAGTTCAAGAGTAAAAAAGTCTGATATACCAGAGTTCACATCGGTAGTGAAGCTGGTTGATCAGCCTAAAACGAGGTGATAACCGCGCTGCAACACTGCTGTCACTGTTTCAGCGAGACTGACAGGACAGAATTGTACTTCCAGCGCTAATCGCGGCTGTCAGGTCAGATTTCGCTTAGGCATAATGAGAGTAGGTGCCAGGGCCTCAGAAGTCAGGATTTTTACCCTGAATTCCTGAAGTTTGACCCTCGTTTCTTATCGTGACCCTGATGTATCAGCCTTTTTTTTTTAACGACCCTGATGTTTCAGTGTTTTTTTATGTGTAACTCTGTTTTTTCAGTGTTTTGTGTTTGAGGACACTGACGAGTCAGTGTTGCATCGAGTTCGACCCTGAAACTAGAAACGGCGCAATCTGATTGGCCCAAGTGTTGTAGGGAGTTCATCCTGTGATTTGCGCCATGACCTGCTACTTCGGCTGTCAAGCTCCTACAGTACCGCCAGATGTTTTGCTGCACATGGCATCCTTCGTGCCAGGTGGTAAACTTCTCAAGTTCTGATTGGTTGCCACTAATAACCTGTACCCTCTTGACTGTTTTGGCCTCGCAGCACACAAAGCCAGAGGTACGTGTTTCCCTCCAATGCTGGCATCGTGGTGCTGGTGTGGTGTGCTGAGCAAACCATACTCGATGCTATCATAATTCCCCATACTAGCAAAGGAAATCAGTGTTTATGTTATTTAGAACACTGATTGATCAGTGTAATTCTTTTGTGAACACTGAAAAATCAGTGTTTTTTAGATGATGACACTGAAAATCAGTGTTAGTCCTCAAAGAACACTGAGTGATCAGGGTGCCCCAAAACCAATCTGAGGCCCTGGTAGGTGCCCACTTAAACGCTAATGAATCAGAGTACACTCTGAGAAAAAGGCTGAAATTTCAGACAAGGCCTAGATTTTTTTCTGAATATTCAGAGTTCACAGCAAAAAACACTCTGAACTTTCAGAGTTCACTAAGAAAAAAGGCTGAAATATCAGAGTTTTTTAGGCAAATCAGAGAAATTTCTCTGACTTATGGGGGCCTGTTTATGGTTTGTGCCCTCTGGTTCTATATACTACCTAGAATGCAATACAAAACAAAGCACAAAAGAAAGCGTCAACCTGAGACGCACGCGGATTTCAGAGGTTGAATCTCATCAACGCGAAGTTCAGAGCCTTGCCGAGCGATTTGTATCGACTGGAATTCCGTAGACGGAAGCCATGCGATGAAGGCTTTGTAGGCGAGGTCGCTCGACAAGATAAGTGCGTGCCAGACGTATCGTGTAGCGACGTCAATGAAGGCAATTATTTAGTTCAAATTCGCTCGCCCTTCTTGTCGTGCAATATCCAGGATGTCGATGTAAACCTTTTCGAGCAGTTTGTATGCAGGTGCGCTGGGATAATGATGAGTCTGGGCTGTCGGGGTAGATCTGCTTCAGGAGACAGCGTGCTGTCAGAATTATATTCTTATACCTGCATGTAGTTCTAGCTGTAGTGTAGATATTAACTTTATAGGTGGTGCACCTCTTTGTTTGCTATATGTACCCTAGTGCTATAGTGAACATCATTCCCCATTTCTCTCTCCTTGGCACAAACTCTCTCGACTCCCTTTGGCCTAGGCTACTAAGCCTAGGCCCTACTCTTTCTATTCAACACGTGCAGATATATTGAGGTCGACGAAGCCCTTTTCCACACGCAAGTAGTAGCGCATCTTTATCGAGTACGCCAGCGCGAATCGTATTGTAAGTTGTTTTGCCACTGGGATGTCCTAACCGCTTATGCCAGATATCCTCTGATGTTGCATGTCTTGCAGATCGCCGATAAAGATCGGAGTTTGTATAAAGGGCATTGAAGTTCGCAGGACTCCGATGTGACTCTGTTTGGATGGTACCGCGCCGAGTAGCGAGTAGCAGAAGTGACAACGACGAGAGTGTCAGAACATTATAGCTTTTACATTTGTGTAGGCTGTAGTGGGGTAGCCCATAAGGGGTACAACCCAATTAGGGTTAGTACTTGTACCCAACTCTTTCATAGTTCATTCATTCTCGTTCATTACTTTCAACATGGTTTCAGAGCAGGTCCCTCGCTAAGACCGCCTTTCGTTCCTTGGGCCCACCACCTGCTGCCCTGCGAGTAGCCCCTTGGCCCCGGCCCCTTAGGCCTGTCGCGCCCCTTAGGCCCCGGCCCCTTGGCCCTTCGCGCCCCTTAGGCCCGTCGCGCCCCTAGACACCTCGGCCCCCAAGGCCCGTCGCGCCCCTTAGGCCCATCGCGCCCCCACGGCCCCGGCCCCTTGGCCCGTCGCGCCCCTAGGCCCGTCGCGCCCCTTAGGCCTGTTCATATGACACGTGGCTCGACGACCTGCACCTGTACCTACTGAGCGATATTAAGGACAGTGTTTCCCTGTTTGACCACGTGTCCGGTGCCGCTACTGCCCCTCCCACCACAGCTGACAGTGCGAGTCGCTCACAGTGGCTTTCTCGCGACGCTGCTGCCCGCTTAGCCATTCACAACCACCTGCAGTTAGCCGAATGCGCTCACTTCGGACAGCACAAGACCGCACAGGCACTATACGACGCTGTAGTCGCTCGCTACTCCTCCCCTGCCACAGCTGCTCTAGGCTGCCTGCTTCTGCCCTACCTGTTCCCCGAACTGTCCGCCTTTGCCACAGTCGAGGACCTGGTTTCCCACCTTTGCGCTAGCGACGCTCGCTACCGCGCTGCCGTCCCTGCTGAGTTCCTTGTCAAGAACCAGCCCCCGACGTTCATCACCCTCTACTTCATAGTCACTTGCCTCCCTGACTCTCTTCGCTCTGTCAGGCACCACTTCTTCTCTCTTGACCCCACCTCCCTCACTGTTGACCTCCTCGAGCAGCATCTCCTCGCAGCTGAGACTAGTGCAGTTGCTGTAGGTGCTACTCGTGGCACTCCGCGCTCACCCTTCTTTGAGGGGTGCCCCCCCTCCCCCCTTGCCCCCTCCTACACCTCTGCTGCTGCTGCAGACGTCTCTGATGCAGAGGACGTCGGGGCTGCTTCTGCTAGTGCGAAGCGCCGCAGCAGCAAGAGCAAGGGTGGCAAGGGTGGTGGAGGTGGCAGCGGCGGTGGTGGAGGTGGCAGCGGGAGTAGTGGTGGGGGCAGTAGTGGAGGTGGTGGCGGCGGTGGGACTGGTGGAGGGAGTGGGGGCTCTGGTGGCGGCAGTGGAGGCAGCGGTGGGAGTGGCGGCGGTGGCGGCAGTGGGACTGGTGGCGGTGGGACTGGAGCTCGGCGTGTTGGTTCTGGAGGTGGCAAGCGTCAGCAGCAGCAGTGTCGGAGCGAGACCCAGTCGCCCCAGCAGCTTCGTGAGTGGTTTTTGCGTGGGGCGTCTGGGGTTAGTTGCCCGTATGTCATTCGCACGGGTGACCATGCTGGTCAGACTTGCGAGCGGCTTCACACTCAGCACCGCTGCTTCTCCCGCCTTGACGACGCTTGGCGTGCTGAGTTTGGTGACAACGTCGAGCTCCCTCGCTAAGCAGATCTGCTTAGGTCTAGGATTGCTATCTTTGACCTAGACTTTGATGCTATTCTTTCTGCTATGTATGCTTTGTCTGTTAGTGCTAAGGGTGACTGTTATCGGTGTGTGCCGCCTGACCCAGGTATAGCTGCTGCTACTCTAGGTGCTAGTGAGTCTGGTACTCTCCCTGGTACTGCGCCTGCTCAGGCCTTGCACACCTTCACGCTAGACTCAGGCGCCTCTGCTTGTTTCTTTCGTGACACCACCACTCTCACTCTTCTCTCTACACCAGTCCCGGTCTGACTGGCTGACCCCTCTGGGGGCCCGGTCGTGGCCCGTTCCTCCACTATCCTCCTGTGTCCGGCGGTTCCGTCCGGTTCACTGTCTGGTCTTCACCTCCCCTCGTTCTCTGCGAACTTGGTGAGTACCGCTGCCCTCCAGGATGCAATGGTCACTACCACCACTCCTGGGGGTCAGCGTGTGACGATCTGCACGTGCACACGGACGGGGCGTCACCTGGCCACGTTCACTCGTCGGCCAGGGTCGAGTCTGTACACACTCGCTACCGAGCCTCCTCAGGTAGCTGCGTCTGCTCAGGTGTCCGCGCCATATCAGGTAGCCGCCTCTTGCTCGTGTCGCCTCCTGACGCACCAGACTCTTTTGTGGCACCACCGTCTGGGTCACCCCTCCTTGCCACGCCTTCGTGGCATGCACTCTGGTCTTCTTGTCTCTGGTCTTCCCAGGTCCCTGCCTCCCCTGCCGCCCTCGCCTGCCCCGCCCTGCCTTCCTTGCGTCGAGGGGCGGCAGCGCGCCGCTCCTCACTCCTCCTCGTTTCCCCCGACGACTGCTCCCCTGCAGACTCTCCACATGGACGTGTGGGGCC